AGACTTGATGAAAAGTCAAAGAAAAGATACGAGGAAAAAAATCAAAGGAGTGAAAGGTTTACTCAGGGTAAACCCTTACAAGCACACAGAGGGACAAAATACGTTAGCGTGTATTGAATTGCTGTGGCAGGGCCTGTAGGGTGCAATGCATAAACAAATGCCTGCAAACCTCAAGGAACTGAGCAGTGTTATAAAGAAGAAGGGCCAAAAAATATTCCACAATAATTTTCAACTTATTGCTGCTAGAGGTGGTTCTACAAGATGTTGAATCATGATCTGTGCCTAGTTTTTCACATGATTGGATAGAGTCTGTACCATACTGTATGTAGTACTCCCGAGCAGTGTTGGTCAGGTTACTTAAAAAAAGTAATCAGTAACTAATTACTGATTACTTTCCCAAAAAAGTAATTCCGTTACTTTACTGATTACTTATTTTCAAAAGTAATTAGGTACTTAGTTACTTTTAAAAAATTATTTACAACCTGAATAGGTAATAAAGCAATAGATCTTTCAGCCCAATTCTATTTATTCTCCATAATCCATCATATAAAATGTGGTCAAATGAAAAAGTCTCTTTTTGAAACTAGTTTTATTAGTTTTAATCTTTTAACTTTATGCATCAAGCAACTTGCGTTACTTGTAACGCGTTACTGCCCATCTCTGCTCCCGAGTGGTCTTTGTTTATCTTGTCCATTTTCACATTTGTGAGTTCAGTCCAGTAGCTCTGTTATCCTGTGGAGGCGTTTTGTAGGAGTGGTTTGGGTCCACTGAAAATCATTACAGAATTGTTCTTTTATCACGTCTATCCTAATGGGACTTTATATTCACATGGCTGTACAGGCACTATATAAATGAAAATAAAATTGGAATTGAACCTAGGTTTAGAAAATTAGGGGTTATTAATAAATACCAAAATAAATACCATAATAAACAAATAATGGCTTAATGTCTATGTTTTGTGTAAATCTGTCAGACTCCAATCAAACAAACAGACATTTCAAGGCTCACTTTTATGTCCCTCTAACTTTACTAGAATAAATTTAGACTAGAATAACCCTTTATTTTCATTTTACATGTGGAACAAAATTATGGATACTCCACACCAACTGTGCCAGAATAAAATATAAATAGTAGATATCAGGAATAACATAATTTAAAAAAATAACCTCGTTCTCTGTACATCTTATTTCAGCAAAACCTCAGATAAAAAATAACAATTTAGATATTACACTATCTCGTTATTTATTTAACACAAAACAAAATGCAAGAGAAGTGTTTGAAAAACTAAGTACTAACCGTATTGCATCCTCGAAAACTGTTCGTAGCACCCAGGTGCTGCTGATCACATTGAATAAATGATCATTAGCAAGTGTGAGTACTTTGATGAAAGTAGAGGTTTTGGCAGTTTGCTGATCTGGAGTGTTCAGATGTGTGTTAACATGATGCCAAGAGGGAAGGACATCAGCAGTGATCTTAGAAAAGCAATTGTTGCTGTCTCTCAGCTTGGGAAGCGTTATAAGGCCATTGCCGTACAATTTGAAATCCATCACTCTACAGCAAAAAACATTATTAGTAAGTGGAAATCATTCAAGACAGCTGCCAATCATCCCAGAACTTAATGTTGCTGGAAATTAACCCCAAGGTCTGACTATGCAGTGGAGTTAACTGAAGAGCTACTTCTGAGATTCTACAGATGTAAGTAACCATGTTAAATATTAAAGTTCATGATAGTACAATCAGACAAAGAACAAGCTTGACTTGTTTGGAAAAGTTGCATGAGAACGCTTCTTCTCTCCTAATGATCATGGCAGCACAGCTTAGCCTTGGAAAACTGCATCTGAGCAAACCACCAGTTCTGGAGCAATGTCTTTTAGACAAATGAGACAAAAGTGGAGATGTTTTGCCTTAATTCACACTGCCACATTTGATGAAAACCCAAATAGAGCAGGACCCAGCCATCTTGCAGTCAGCGAGTCAGAAATGAGCTTCACTATATAAAAAGTCTTCTAGAGTCAAATGTAAGGCCATCTCTTTGAAAATTATCGTTTGTTAGAAACAGGATAATACAACTGGACAATGATTCCAAGCCTGCGAAGAAGTTTTTCTTATTTTGCTATTTTGCTTGTAATTTAATGACCTCATCTGCATTTTTTTTCTTGTTTTTCTTACTAAACTTCATCACTGGGAATTTGTGTTCTGATAAAGGTAAATCCAAAGAAAAAAATATCTTCACAGGTGGCATGTGAGCAAAAATGTAGCTCTGCAATTATCTTGAAAGAAACTGCAACCTTCTAATAAAAGCCTTCATAGGACTATGCGATTCATGTGCAAATAGACCCTGCTAGTTAGCCCATTTCAGCCCTACCAAAACATGTATATGTGCAAAGCATAAACTGCTGCCAGCTCCTCTGTAACCTTAAACTCAAAGTAACTGTACTGATGTCACTTCACTTTTTGCTCTCTTGTCCAGAGCAAAAAATGTCAGGGCAAAAACTCAACTTTTACACAGCACAAAACAAAATTATGTGGACTCTAAGATTCCATTCATTAATTTTCCTTGTCCAGGGTCATGGGAAGGTTGAAACCTATCCCAGCTAACTCAGAGTGAAAGGCAAGGCACGCCCTGGATAGGCTGCCAGAGATAAAGCATATTCTATTTAGATCCCAAAGACATATGCAACCAGTACTTAATATTATTGATTAATAGTACTCTAAATTTATTCATTGTCTAAATATCTTACCTGGTAAAATATTTGCAAATGGTAGCAAAGAACTAAGAAATGCCTGTCTGCTGTGCACGTTGCTTTGACAGCTGTCATTCATTCCTCTTTCAAGGCGTCTGAGAAACTTCACTTTTTTTAATCTAATCATGTACTTTTTTATTTTTAATGTTTCAGAAAAACAGCCTGACATTAATTGCTGAAGTTCTCTATGAGTCAACACTATGTGAAAATATATGTAAAGATCTAATATATCCAACATAGACAGTTATCCTTGTAAAACTCAGCTTTTTGAGAGTTGCTGGATTGCTGTTAGAGCTGGATAAGTACCTGTTCAATCATTATTGAATTTCTTGGTGAAATTAGTGTGACTTGCATTTCAAAAGATTTATTCTGCCTTAAACAGGATCTTCGTCGAGAGGCAGGTTTTATTTAAATGCTTTTTTGAAAAAGACATTGATTATCACTGGCCCTGGCAAATGTGCCTAATGTAATTTATTTTGCAAATAAATGTTTGTTCTTCACACATTGTTAACTTAATTATTGGGGGTGGGGTGTGTGTGTGGGGGGGTCAGGAATGTGATTATGGATAGATTTCATTTACCATTAGTATCTGCTCCCTTTATTCTCCCTCCCTTGTTGAATTAACTCGCCTACTTTTGCCAGAAATTATGAATAATTCCAAATTCCAGAGTAAAAGAGCAAACCAGACATACAGCAGCTAATGGTTGCCATGCTTCTTTCTAGAGAAAATTATGCAGGACAGAGGGCCAAAGTCCACTTTGTAGACTGATTCTTGAAACTTATGGGTATTATAACTATGGGAAGTAAAGGAGCTCCATATGTCGGATGAAAAAAAAAAAAACAGAATTTCTAAACAGCATTCGTGCTTTTCCATCGTCCAACGTGTGCAATGTTAAATCAGTGGAGTATTCTTTATGTTCCTCCTCTCAAACCTTTTTCTCTGTGTCATAGGCTCCACAAGTTCATCAGTGTCAGACCACTGGCTAATCAGGCTGACGGGGGACAGTAAGAGAGGCAGTCTGGTGTCTCATGCATCCACCACCTGTCCATCTTCCTTACCTGACTCTCCAGAGTCTCCAGTCTTCCTGGACAATGGCTTCAAAGATGAAAGAGGTAAAAGGACCATTGCTGTCAACAGACTTGTGTTTTATTTATAATTTGTCTAAACGTGTTTGGTTTTTATTTAAAGCCTAAAATATTTCCCTCTCTACATAAATGCCAGGTGGATTTGAGAAGAGGCCATTTGTCAGAGGTCTTCAGGGGCGCAGCATGAGCCTGAGAGCCCCCAGCAAAAACAAGGATACCTTGAGCAGAGTGCTTCCAATGCGCTGGTCCTTTGGTTCCAAGGACAGACGAAAACCTGACCCAGTCCCTCCCCCTGAACCTGATCCAGCCCCTGTAGAACTAGTACAGTACTTGGAATCTGGTCGGCGTCCCCGGTGCACAAAGGATCCGATAGCGACATTAATGAATGAACCACGCAGCACAAAGGAAGCTGCAAAGAGCCGTGTTGCAGCCAATGTTCGTTCGTCTAGCGTTGGAAGTATAAGTTGTGTGGGTAAGACGGGGGAGGAGCCGCCATTTCTAAAGGTCCCAGAGGGCCAGAAGTGGCCATCAGATAAAGCAGCTAGTCTGAGACGTAGCAAGGGGAGCCAGGCTAAGGATGAGAGCACTGTGAATATCAGGAGCAGCTCCAGCACTAACACTCTAACAAGGAGGAAGGATGGAAGAAAACAGAGCTCCTCCAAATCTTCACAGGATACTGAGACAAAACGGAGATCCAGTACTGGAGTTCAGCCCAGCTACAGCACACCCAGTCTCCAAGATGGAACTCTGAGAAGACAAAAGGGAGACAGGGCTGATAGGGAACGCCACAGCACACAAGAAGAAAACTCTAAGAACAAGAAAGCAGACGTGCCTAAGAGCCATGACGGAATACTGTCCTTTTTTAAAGGTAGCTTCCTGAAGAAGGATAAAGATTCAAGGAAACCCACGGAGGATGAGTCAGGGAGAGCAGTAGTTGAAGAAGAAAGCAGAAGGACCTTGTCGAGGCCATCTCTGTCCAATGGAGCAGCAGGAGGCCGAACCGGAGAAGAAAGAGGCAAGTCCAAAAGCTCAGGCCATGTGGTTAATGAGCAGGTAAACGGTAAGGTGGGGCGCAAAGCAACTGAAATCAAACGCTCCCAGAGCTCCACCAACATCCCAACAAAAGCAGAGCAGAGTGTGCGTAGGACAGCATCTTTGCACCGTAATGGGATGTCAACAACGCCAGCATCATCACGCAGTCTGACAAGCGACAAACCATCTCACGGCACCTTGCAGAGGACTCGTTACAGCACAACCTCACTGGGGCGCAAAAAGACAGTCCCCGAGTCCAGCTTCTAACACAGAGACACATAAAGCCTTTTTCCTGAAAGAAAGTGAAGGACATGAAATCTCCAAGATCAAAGCAATAGTGCTCCATTCACAGTAATACGCCTTTTTTGTTCCTGGAAAATTAACAGAGTCAAGTAGTTTGCTCCATGTAAGACATAGAATAAATGAAAGGTCCTCTAATGCTCAAGAGGACATTAATGAGCAAAATTAGGTGATATGACCTGTCCATTAAATATGACAGAGAGTCCTTCTCCATTCTATTTCTACGACCCAAATAAGTGCCTGATCAGCCGATATGCAGTTTAGACCAATTGGTTTGTGTCAGTTTAGAACTGAAAGCACGCAGCAGCACACCTACGAACATACTGTACGAATATGTGTCTTATTAATGTAATGTGAGCGTTGGAAGTCGCCACTCTGTTTCGAACTCTTACGGTTGCTGCTTAGAATGAAGACACACTGATTGTGTTCATTTATAAGAATGTATTGTGTCTACTTGATAAACGGTGGTGCTTTGAGACCTAAATCTCTGAATAATGTCAACTGTTTATTTTTAATATTTTCTTTAAAGCACAGTATGTTTTATTTTTTAAAGGATTGATTTTCTTTCTTTTTCCTAAATGACCCAGTGTGCAGCAGCAGTTGATTCAGTGATTTACAGCTGACTAAGCAAACATTTTAAAAACACTATTGTCTACTGTGAAACGTTAAATGAATACACTATCCCTTAGTGTATTAGTAATAACAGTTGAATATTAAACTGTTTGTTTTCTTCTATTGCTACTTTCATGTACCCACATCGTCGTGTTCCTTAATGTTAAATAATTGTTTCCCATGCTTTCCTAACACCGATGACTGTCAACAGTTTAATGTCACCATTCATAGAGGGGAGGACCACAAAAAGCAAAGCAAAAGAGAGTGACTTCTGCTTGTTACTAAAAAAAAACCAAAATAATGTGGACACACAAAATCCTGTCTTATTGAAGCTGTGATTGAGAGAAAAATTCTACCTCTCTGGGAATCATTTTTGATTAATGTACCTCCAAAATTGAAGGTCTGCAAAATTACTGGTTACTCTTTGATAGCGACTGTTTTTTTACCAGAACATGACATTTACTTACTTATGAAATAGTGACTATTTGGCCAGTAGGGAAACGGACAGAATATACAAGGCATGTAAGGTTAGGGAGCAGTGTTTGTTATTCTATGTAAAGAAAATCTATTCTATGAATCTATAGAAGAGAAATAGAGTATGCATTATAATATGCATTTTCCTTTATTTATAGATTTAATGTCTATTTGCTGTTAATGTTTTTGTTTATTTTTTAAGTGTGGAACAGTAAATGCATACATAAAAAAACATAGTGGACAAGAATTTTATGTAACTTTCATTTCTATTATTTAGGCTAAGCTAATTTAGCTTATTTAGCTTAATTAGCTTAAATAGCTAATTTAGCCTAAATCCATCCTAATGGTTCTGGATATTTTGCCTGTCCACATGTTTTATATGTAGAGGCAATATAGTATATTAATATATATTATCACACTCTCTTTTTGTTTTGTACAAAGACTTTTTTTTACCTTGCTACCTTTTCAAATATATAAACATCCTTCTTATTTAAATTGTTAGTTGGACTGCATTTGGGCAATATAAAGTAGAGCGAACTGCTTATCAAAAAAAATCAAGGGCAACTTCCAAACATCTGAACGCAGCATAATTATTTAATCCACCTTATCTAGCTGTCCTGCAGTTCAACATAAACTCACACTGCAGTTAGAAAAAGCCTTTCATAATGTGAAATAATATAATTTGATGTTAGGTTTATTGACTTCACATCAACAGCACCTTGGTGCTCACCCCCGCAGCCTTCGAGATTACGAATGGCCAAATATTCTGATGAAGTATTTCTATCAAAAATCCAGTTTATTATTGAACAAATACCTTAGTGCAATCCTCTCTTTGTATTTATAATCACCATGAATATACAGCTTTCTTCTATTATGTAGGAATTAAAAAGCAGTATCTCTTTTATTGTACAAAAATGTCTACTTTTACTTAATCTTAAAATCTGAAAACCAATGATAATATTTAGTAAACTATCAGGCTATCCTGATAGCAAATAATCTTATATTTATGCCAAATACACATGTGCAATTATTTTTTCCTTCTTTCTTGACTATAACTTTACATCAGTGGGTTATATTAGAGAGCCCGTATTAGAGTATGGAACAAGCTTTTCTATTTGTGTCTGTGTAATGGTAGAAGGAGGTTTTTTTTGTTATTAGCAGAAGTCTGTCAGATTGTGGAAAGGTACATCTAAGAGCTTATGCACATTTGACCATGAGTATTGTGCAATTTTGTTTTGTGTTTTGAAAAGTATATACGGTTGAAGTAAACAGATTGAGGCCTAAAAGCTTCATTTGCTGCTATAGGTAGCCTGTCGTAGTGCCTCTGTTAGATGCCACATGTCGAAACGCTGGACCGAATGTTGAAGTACAATCGAGGAGTTAAAGCAAACTCTTATGGAAGTAGGTTTTCTATGCACATGTCACAAATAGAGAAATCTTTCTGTCATTGTTTTGTTTACAAGTCAGACACTGGATTTAATATTTTTTTATGTCGTTATCAAAAATTCAAACAGCTGTTTCTTATCGTCACTTACTTCTAAGTTGACAAATAAGTTATCTGATGCAAGGGTTTGGTAGCTCTTCTAAATACTTCTGTGTTTGTGTTAAATGTTTTGGACAGATCTGAGTTTACCTGTGAAGACTATTTCCTTCCTCAGGAGCTACGTGAGGGATGTCAGGCGCTTAATTGCACATTTATCACTACAACCCACCCCCACCCACATTCCTATACTCCCATTTTAAATTCCTATCATCAATGTTTGAATTTTCTTTGCTTTTCGTAGTTTTCTCTGTGTTTACAAAACTATTTTTTGTGGCCTTGAAGGTGCCTGCCAGGGCTTTCACTTCTGCAGATCTTGTTTTGAGCCAAAAGAAAAATCATGTCGACAAATAATTTAGTGCTGATTAGTTATAAGTTTGGTAAGAGATGTAACTTGACATGGCAGATAAGATTTGTCGGTATTTGCTTTAAAATATTTTATTTTTTTAAGGGTGTCTTCTTTTTAACATTCGTTTGCATTTCTTTATTTGGTAGGGGGGAAAGAAATTGTGCCAACATTCAACTAGTCAAAGTTGCAGGCTTCGTTTTCTTCTGAAATGTCGAAAGGGATTGGTGGTGGCTTTGTTTTGATGATGGCTGCTGCATTTATGTCCTCAACAGTAATTCACAAAGACTGCTCAAACACACAAGTAGCACATTCAACAAAAAGGCAGAAATTGCTTCAATTAGAGAGCTAATAAAATGACACAGGTTTGTGCTTTTTACAGACATGCTCTCCTCAGCAGACTGACATGTATTCCTTTGTATTTAACATAACAAATGCAAAGATTCTTACAATGTGGCCTGTGGTATACAGTAAAATGTGTGAAATATTTCCTTTCAACCAGTGAAACTGGCATAAAGCCCAGGAGGTTATTGAAACCTTTGCAAATTCTCAACCTTTACATCTAAATACATTGTAAAAGTATATTACAACTATCAATGAAATAGCCGGTGTGTTAGATGTGAGTCTGAAACGTTAAGTCTGTTTTGCTTCTCTCAAACCACATGTGGCCACATACATGCATAGTTTATCAAACTGAGCACTTTTATGTGGTAAGAGATGTTTTTATATGCAATTTTTCTACATTTTCTAAGTAAAATCTCTGTATATATTTGTGGATACACGCAGAGGGGGATATGTGCGTGCGGGTGTGTGTGTAAGAGAGAAATAAATGAATAAATATGGACGCAGAGCCTGCATGGTGTAGTGTTTGGGATTTTCCATTGCATTGCACAAGGTGGTTTTCACTACAGTTTCTGCTTAAATTGTCCTCTGTACATGATGGTACATTATATATATATATTTGATATATTATATTTTTCAGTACAATAAAAATGTGTTATTTATTACTATGGTCTTCAGTAAGCCACTTTTAAATGCCTAATAAAAAAAATATGAAGTTTTAAAATGGAAGATTTTATTACCTGTGGGACAATGCTTTTAATTTATGGATTTTATTTTCTCTTTTACAGCAGAAACGTAGACAGGAGACATACGCTGAAAGATCAGACGCCATATTGAGGTTATGTAGCATGACCGATGAACATTTGGGACAAAAAATGTGTGTCAGTACAAGAAATTGCCACTAAAATGTACCCTTTAAAGTGGATTGTGTCATCCTTAATATGTGAGTTTTGGGTAAATAATTTAATTTCACAATTAATTACAAAAGAGAAAAACTCAGAAGTGGCATATGTGATATGCATTCAAACTAATGTATGCTAATTAATATTTAATTTCTTGTTTTTATTTCATCAATGAACACTCCAATTTTGCAATTTGAGCTTTGGTAAAAAAATTCACTTTTTGCAAGCTCTGGTATTAGAATTAAAGTTATTAGAAATGGTAAATGGCCTGTATTTGTATAGCGCTTTTCTATTCCCTAAGCACCCCAAAGCGCTTTACATATCCAGTCATCCACACATTCACACACTGGTGATGGCAGCTACATTGTAGCCACAGCCACCCTGGGGTGCACTGACAGAGGCGAGGCTGCCGGACACTGGCGCCACCGGGCCCTCTGACCACCACCAGTAGGCAACGGGTGAAGTGTCTTGCCCAAGGACACAACGACAGAGACTGTCCAAGCCGGGGCTCGAACCGGCAACCTTCCGATTACAAGGCCAATTGCAGTGGCTGACCTTAAGGTTAAGAGGCTTATTTAATATGAATAAGAAGGCTGCAATAACTCCAATAAGCGAAGCAATTGTAACAAAGCATTTTTTTCTGCATATGAGGACTGTTCATCCAAACAACCTCGAGCTCATGTCCCAACATGTTTGTCTTACATATGTGAAGCTGAATACCAATTAAGATGCTGTAGATGAAGAACAGATGGATAGAAATAAAGATACTTTTCCAAATTAGCACCAACCTCTGTCATCAGCTTGGCTTTTCTTGGCTGCTATCCTAAGTCTAACCAATTCATAATTGTAAGTCTACCATCAATTAGACATCAGTGCCACTGGTTGACCACCAACAGAAAAAGACCCAGATAATGAGACCACCTGAGTTTCATCAAATTTGGTACTAGAATTACACTTTGTCCTGCCAAATCTGACATACATCAGATGAGTAGTTGTCAAAACGGGTTAAAAAGAAACAGGTATATAAGAGTTTGGGGGGTTTTCAGAATTGCTTCTGTTTTTATATATTTATCCTATTGAAAATAGCTGCATGCAAAGAAAAAAGCTGAAATAAAGCGAACCATGCTGTGAGCCAGGCACCTG